GGGGGGCTATGAGGGGTCTAAGGTGGCATCCCCCCCAACCCCAGACACCTCATAGCCCCCCCTTCCGATAGTCCGGCATATCTGATAATCCGGCACCCCCTGGGTCCCAAAGGTGCCGGATTATCGGAAGTTTACTGTAATCAGGATTACAAAGCCTTAATCAACAGAGCACACAAACAAAAGATAATGGTTAAATCAACAAATGTTAAAGGTACATTTCTATTCTCTGCAGCTACAAAAGTACGTGATAAGCACCATACTGCAGACACACATCTACAAAGCTCTCCTGACAAGTGACTGGTACTTATGTCCACATAATTAAATATTTTGAAACTTACTTTGTTCTATACAAGTCTGGGCAAGAGCAAAGAGCTCAGGTGATCGCTCTTCCAGCAACTGCTGGTGAATATTCACATATCGCAAAGTCCACCAAGGCAATGTCTAAAAGGGAGAATAAAACTATTTTACATTAATGATAAATACAACTGATTTTCTTTTATAAACATTTTAAAAATACAACTTCAAAAACATTGAAATATAGTTGCTTTATAAAATTTCAGTAACAAAACTAATCTACTTGAGATCAGGTTAAGGTAGGAAGTTTCCTACAATGTACACTCAAATTATACCAAGTTTGAATAAATCTTGAAAGTCGAAATAAAACAACAATCAATCAGTCACTAAATGGTTAACAATATTCTCCTTTTCTACTCCCCTCAATTGATGGGCTCTATCAACAACGCTACTTTCCAAACATCCCCTCCTTTGTTCTGGACAGTGGAATGATAAAAATTTGAAGCTCTCACACAAATAGGACAACTTTATCATCTTTGACAGATTTCTAGCTCAATATAAATAACTGCACAGGTTTTTTAAATAAAATAGAGAAAAGATGGCACCCAATAAAATCGAAAACATATAATTCTGATTTGAATTCCTTACAGCCTTGTCTCACTTTCACCTTTCTATTTTAAGGGTTGCAGTTAAAAATGTCAACCATTCATCTCTTTGGACACTCTTTGTAGTGACAGGTTCAAAACTGGCAGTGAAGGTTTCTAGATGTTAGAATTTAAAGCATACCTTGTCAAGGTATATTCCTCGACTCAAGAACATGCACAGCTCACTTCCGATAATCCGGCACCTTTGGGACCCAGGGGGTGCCAGATTATCGGATATGCCGGAGTATCTGGAGGTACTCCAGAAAGGAGGCTGTGAGGGGAGATCGGAAGGAAACGGCGCGGTGTGGGGCTAACCCTCTGCTGTTTTGCAGGGAGGCAGGGGAAGCCCCGCGCAGCTGCCAAAGACAGGCCAACTGGAGCTGCAAGCGGCAGCAGCGACTTGGGGAAGCAGCAGGGCAGAGCAGCTGGGTTGGTCCCACAGCGCCGCCCCTCACCCCTCTGCTCAGCACCAGGTAGCACCCCAGCTGCTCTGCACCTCTTCCCCAAGTCTGCTACTGGTCAGTTTCAGCAGCGGACTTGGGGAAGCTGTGCGGAGCAGCTCCAGTTGTCTGGCTGGCCGGAGCACTTCCAGGTTCCAGTTGGTGCCGGACCACTGGATGCCGGACAATTGGAGTTTTACTGTACATAAAATAACTATGGTATTCGGATATTTTAGGATTTGAGAAAAACATAATTCTGAGCACACTCCACAAAAGACGAGCTAATGTAATAAATCTGAAAAGTGCAGTTTATTATTCCTAAATAGAAAACTATTAATATACTTATGAGAGAAAAGAATTTTCTTCTGAAATTGTCCAGTAATAGGAAATCATCTTCACTTCTTTCCAAACAGCAACAAATAAACTAGATTTTCTAAACTAATTTATCTTTTTCTTGTTGAAATGTAGATCCTTTATATTTAACAAAAATAATCTCATTTATGAGATTTATTATAGGTTGGACTCCCTTGACCAATCCCAGATGAGGAATTTTGCTGGAGCAGGAATCATAACTGCTCTCTCTTCTACTGGTGCCCCAGCCAGGGCCCACCACAGGCCCTTCTGGTCCCTATTCCCCCTTGCCTGTCATGCCAGGCAGCCCCATTGGGGTGCTTTGGGCTCTACCAAGTAGGGATGTTAGATAGCATGTAATTGAATAGTTATGTAACTGCATCAAATTTTAGTGCTTACATAATTATTTGATAGTCCCTGGATAGTCCCCCCAGGCAGTCCCTCTTCCAGCCAACCCCCTGTCACGCCATGCTGCTGCCTCTCTATTAGGGGCAACAGCACAGGGTGGCAGGTGGGAACTAGTCCGCGAGGGCAGACGGCTAAAAAACGAGCTCCTTGCACAGACCAGCTCCCGGCTGCTGCCTCACACTGCTGCCTCTAATAAAGGCAGCAGAGGGGGACAGCAGCAGCCCTGTCTGTGGGTGTCCGAGCTTCCCACAGACAGAGGCTACTCTGGCATGAACCTCCCCCCCACCCACGGACAGGGGTTGCTGCTGTGGAGCAGCTTCTGTTCACGGGGAGCAAGCTTAGGCCCACCACAGACAGAGGCTGCTTCACGGCAACCTTCTTTGCCTCTACCCCATGCTGCTGGCTTCTACAGCGGCAGCAGTAGGGCTGGGGAAGGGGCAAGGCAGCACCACACAGCCAGTGCTGCAGGGGAACCAGCTTCTAAGCCAGCTCTTCCCAGCACCGGATCCTGCCCCCACCCACTGCTTCTGTAGAAGGCAGCAAGGGGGGAGGGCAGGTGGGTCCACGAAGCTGGAATGCATGTAGAGCTGGCTTAAAAGCTGGCTCTCTGAACATATTGGCTTCCACCTGGCCCTGTCACCTTCCACGTGGGGGGGGGGGGCAGGTTGTGTGCAGTCCACAGGATTAACCTATAAACCCATAATTATTGGTTAATCATGTAGTCTTCTACACGCTGACATCCCTACCACCAAGCAGCCCCACTGTGGTGCTGAGTTGCACCCAGCTGGGCTCCTGGCCCTGTTGGCAGCTCACAGCCTGTAGACCTGTCAGCTCGCAGGATTTCTAGGCACCAGTGCTTCACCGGGACTCTTCGGTTCTGGAACATCCATGGTCCAGATGTTGCTGGACACGAGAGTACTGGTTTACAGAGGTGCCAATTTTTGGCATTCTAAGGTTGGAGGCTAGCATCCCTAGAGGAGCAGAGTTAATATGATCGTGGTGCAATAGTGGTAAGATGCGTCTAGGAGTAGAGGAGTACAGGGATTGAGGCTTAGTTTTCAGCTGCCTTGCCTCTGATCTGATGTTTGCATAGTACTTTTTAAAAATATAACTCGGGTTTTTATACAAACACATACATGTAAATTCAGTTATGATTTATCATTTATGTATGGAAGAAAGTCTAAGAACTATCCAATTTACACTGGCTTCAACAAAGGCCTTTCCATTGTCTTTAGTGGAAGCTGGACGAGTTTTAGGAGCTTTTTGGAAACTATAGTAGGAAGCATGAATGGCTTTCTTTAGTATAAAAACAGATGACAATGATGAAGTGTTTGCTTATGAAACCTAATTGAACAAAACAAACAACTGTAACACTAGAGATGTTCTAATCTACAGGTATCTCAGATCATAGCTCAAAGGAGAGTTATAATTGATTAAAGCTGTGCACATACAAGCAAAAGCTCATGATGCCATCTACACGTTTTGTTAGCCTATAAAGTGCTACCAGACTATTTGTTGTTGTTTTTTCCTGTAACAGACTTTAACTCGGCTACGCCTTGAAGATACTAGAGACAAGTAGTGTAATTTTGCCAATAAGATATTATACTAATAATCGCTAAGTATAAATTAAATCTCTATAGCAGAGTTGGGGAACCTCAGGCCCAGGAGCCGAATGCAGCCCCCAGCTTGCCTGGATCCAGCCCCTCAAGGCCCAGGGCTCCCACTCAGCATCGGCAAGGGCGATGCCTACTACAAAACTGGAGCACACAAAATCTAACAGTCTGATCCCTACTAGGCTCTGGTGTGGAAGGGGAATGTGGAGAGCGTATTTCTCATTTTCAGTCAGGGACCACATCAGGGAGGGTTTTTTTGTTTTGTTTTTTTCAGCTTCTCACTTGTCTGCAGCCCCTGACTGCTTTTCTATGGGTCAGCGGTCCCTGACCGAAAAAAGGTTTCCCACCCTTGCTCTACAGAAAGCCACTAAGTCCTTACTACCTACCAGATTTGGTTAATTTTAGTTATTTCACTGTATGTGTGTGCATGTAAACAAGTGTTACAAAATGATAGTGTCTCTAAATGCCAAGAAATTATCATATTGTGCACACACACACTTACTCATTCACTCTTCAGTTGTACAGGTAAGTGCACATCAACCCAGAGGACTGCACACACAGCATTCAGGGGAAAAGCCTAAACCAATTTACATTCAGTTGATTATAATCTGCCTAGAGAGGAGCCATCAAAAAGGATAATATATTAAGTATTTCAAACCACAATTAAATATGACTTACGATATCGAGCTGAACAAAGCAATGGCTCAGAAACAGGAGACCTTGTAAAAGAGGTCAAATCCGTTTTTCCCCATCACTTTGTTTAAAAACCCAAAGGCAATTTAAACAAGACTTTGTTGAGCAATGAAGACAACCCTATAAACTAAGGATATACATGGAGTTTATATGCTCAGTGATGAAAATTTCCTCTGGCCTGCAGCATGCCATGCAGATGTCTCAGAGAAGCAAAGAACATTTTTTTTTAATTCGCTTGTGTGTGTGTATGGTACTTATTTTTATTAAGTTTATTTTTTGAGAAGTGGTTTCAGGATTGTGTCTTGGAAGACTTCAAAATCTGTCAAGTCCTCAGTCTATCACATGTTTGTGAAAACAGGGCTATATTTATGTTTTTAAAAATAGATCTCAGAATTTATCCTATTCTAAAGTTCATTTACATGAATATTACAGAAATGAAATACTGCAAGATTGTTAGTTTTAAACTTAGATGAGAAAGAGGAGCTGGGTCACATCAGGAAACTTGCAGAAAATGATTCTCGGCAGTTATTACTCCTGAACTAGCATCAAGACTTGGTTGTACTACTTTTCAAGAGTGTAAACAAGCCTTTGGACTAGAGTAGACCCCTTCTCACTGCACCATGTCTGTTTGTACACAAGGTACATTTTCTCCTCTTCTGACCTGATTTCTGGAACTTAACAGCACTCCTCTGAGTGAAGGAGGAGAAAAATTGAGTGCCTGGTTTCCAATACAAAACAACCAGGAATATCAGTTCTATATGGAGATGCAGCTTGAAGTCGCGATTGCCTGTCCAACCACCAAGATGGACCATTTAAGCCACTGGATCTCAAGCCTGCTCAACCACAAAGCACTTGAGAGAAGACACTGTTGCTAAGGGCCTCCCCACCTCCAAAACTTTCCGCTACCACACAGACTGCTTCTAAGCTAAAGCAAAGGAGGAAAATAGTTAGAAAACTGTATTTTAAAGGAGAAGCACAAAGAAGCCTCTCTATTTTTCATGTGAAATCATGGGGGGGAGGGAAGGTAGGGATATGGTGCCCATTGATGTGTAGTGCTGGTAGTGTGCTGCCAAGGTGGGGAGCTAGCTGACAATCCAAAATTCAAGAAGAGAAATCCCATAGCTCCCCTTCCATGAACAGAAATAAGGCAGACAGAATGAGAAGAACAGGCATCCAGGCCAGACAATGTGCTGCAGTGGTTTCCAAAGATTATTTTTACACTTTATAGTAAGTAAAAGTTTGTGAAATAGAAAGGCCACATTGTATGGAAGCAGGACTGTCCCAGGTGTACATTTACACATACACTCATGTTATTCTAATTATACATGTAAGAAAAATGGCAATTCTAACATTCTGAAATCATTTTCATGAAACAGAGGTGCCTTCATCCCTCAAGGGAAAAAAAAGCCCAATAGAAACTTCTCTGGCTTAGCTACGATAAATCAATTTAAATAATTTTGTATTTAAATAAAGATGATCCTTGATTTTAACTTCCTCATTACTATAGTCACTGCTTTGTTGTGTAAAACTGTTCCTTTAGAGCAGTGGTCACCAACCAATAGATCGGGATCTACCGGTAGATCTTGGAGCCTCTGGCAGGGGATCCTGACTGGTTTGGCCAAGAGGCTATCAAGTGCCAGCACTTCAGCTGCCCCTCCCCCCACTGCTGCTCCTCTCCTGCCCTTTGCCTTGGAGCTGCTTCCCTCCACCCCAGGAGCCTCCTTCTTGCTGGGCAAGGGAGGGAGAGGAGGGTGCTGATGTCAGGGTGCTCCCCTCCCACTCTACATCCATTCTCCACAGAGCAGAGTGGGGGGCACAACAGGACTTGGGATGGAGTTTGCTGGCTGCTTTAGGGAGTGGTGCAGGGTCAGGGCAGGGGAGAGCCTGCCTTAGCTCCACTGCACCACCACCCAGGAGCCCAGCTGGAGCCCACATCCCGAAATCCTATTCCAGTCATGAATCCCCTTCTGCGCACCAAGTCCCTGCCCCAACCCCGAGCACCTCTGTATCCAAACACCCTTCCAGAGCCTGCACCTAGAACCCCTCAGATCAGAGCCCCTCTCACACTCTAGATCCCTTCATCCAAGACCAGAGCCTGCACCTAACCCTCTGCCCAGTGTGATGGAAGTGAGTGAGGATGCAGAGAACAGGGTTGGGGCCTCAGAGAAGGGGCAAGGGTATTTGGGTCTGAGGTAGATCTTGGATTGCACTTAAATTCAAAAAGTGATCTCAAGCTTAAAAAGGTTGGGAGACCCCTGCTTTAGAGTATGTCTAAAAGCAGAACAGAGACCCCACCTCCCGCCCAAAATAGAGAAAAGACAAAAGAAATGGAAGAGAAAGAAAACAGTAGACAAGACTGAATCAAAGGGGAAAAAAATGAGAACCAATCCATGATTGGCAATCACAATTACTATTTACACACGTTTCATACCTGAATAGATGCAAGTTTGTGTCTTGAATGCACGAGAATCACTCTGGCTAAAATCAGCAAGATAGGAAGGGAAATCAAATTATAGACTGATTCACCATCCAGAACCAGCATACTCAGAACAGCTGTACACAATGCTTTGGGCTGAAAGAAAAAAGAACAAATAATATATTATCTGCACCAGACAATATTAAAGTGCTTTACTAGGAAATAACGTATTATAGGGCTTCAAAAAGATTACCCAACACCTCACCCACTGATGAAGTTTGCTCAGCAGGCTGACATACACTGGTATCCTCAAGTCACAACCCCACCCCAAGCCCTTCCCCTTCTTGCTTCATCTCCTGTTAGTGGGGTAGCCTCCCTAAATTGGAACATAAAGATCCACGTTCCCTATTGGCTAAAATCTGCACCTTCACTTAATAGCAGCCCCAATACATCAGAGTTCCATGTCAATTGATGATGATGCCTACCAACTATATTAACCAAAGCAGCCGCCGGTCATTTAATAAAGTAACCTTATTGCCACCCAATTAATTCAATTTAGTGTAACCTTCTATTGTCCAAATAAATTAATGCTGGATGTTCCTCAAATATAGTCAGTTACTGCATGCTACCTCCTTCCTCCTCCAACGCAAAGTCTTCTGTTGGGGGTAGTATTAGCACAGTCCCCAAGGTACATGCAGAAACCTCTGTTGGGAAATTACACCCCATAGCTCCCTGATATAGGAAGCTTTCTGGAAGGCTGTCCCTTTGACTAATGGGGTATGGGTGGCAGCCCACATAGCATATCCTACTCTTAACAGAGTCCATGCAACCCTTCAACTATTTTAACTGTGCTGACAGCCTTCTGCCTTTAAAAATGAGTGGCACCTGGAAATATTTGCCATCAGCAGTTTACTCAGTTTATGTTTGGAAGGCTTAACAACTGCAAGTTATATACTTATTTCCAAAAGTAACAGCTTAGATTCTGCACAGGTTGAAGGTACTTGCCTGAGAAAGATCATCATCTTGGGTGAGTGGAGACTGCTTAAGCCCTGATTTAATATTAGCCGTGCAATATATATGGCTATTTAAATATTAATTTGTTTCCAAATGAAGTAAGGTTATCTGCATCTAAACACTAACCTTGACTGTCAATTTACACTAAAGAAAACTTTTGCTAAGTGAAATTCCTGCAATAACTCAGTTTTTAAGTGGGGCCAAATCCTTGCCACAGTAACGTTGGGGCGGGGTCCTACTGAGGTCACCTACAAGGCATCATGGCCCCCCAGCTGCTTATTGAGTCCCGCGCAGGGGCTGAGAGGTGTGTACACATGGAGCTGCCTGGCTGGGGGAGAGACAGACACACATCCTCTTCCTACCACCTGGGAGAGACCCGCTGCTCTGTCCTCAGCAGACAACTGATGCTGTAGCCAAGGGAGAAGTGCCTCTCTCCAGCCAGGCTGCTCTGAGCCCCATTAAGCAGGTGCGGGGCTGTGCTGCCATGCAGCTTAAGAGGGAACGTTAGTCACTTTATTTTTAGTTTTTAAACAATTAGAATAACAGGACTGTGGTCTTAGCTTATAACCTGGGGAAGTATCAGAATTCAATTATTTTTAAAAATCAAATTTATCAGGACAATATTAATTTTCCTTAAAGTAACTTTAGCATCCTTGACTAGTAGATTTGGTAACTTATGGTAACAGATGTTAACCTTGAGACTACTTTTTTATTTTTGTTATTAATAAGACTCACTGTTGTACATGCCTTATCTTGCTTAAGATCCCTGACTGCCCTAAGTAGTTTCCAAGTAATTTTCCCCAGTTCATTTCTCTTTTCAAACTAATCAGCTAATCTGAATAGCTGTCAATCACACTTTTTAGTCACTTTTTCTCCAAGATATAAATTCTTCAGGAAAATAGTTCCACCTCTAATATTCCTGTACCATCCATCCCCTTGACTGAATAAATACAATTATGATTTATTTAATTATGATTTATTTAAACTATGAGAAAAGAGACCTATCAGCTATTATTACATAATATCATCCTAGCAAATTCATACCTAAAAGGAAGATACAATTTTTTCCCCTTTTATTCAGAGCCATTATGTCAGCTTTCCCTATTTCCCATACAAAATCAGAGGCAATATTAGGTATGCTATTTAAGCACTTGAGTTCCTTAATGGATATTACGCATTCTGAGATTACTTCGGGGAAATGGAACACATACCTACAACTAAACCCCCAGCTGTTCCTCATTTGGAATTTATTAAACTATGTCAATATGTGCACTCATGAGCATCAAAGTACAATCCAATTCGGTTAAAGATCTCATAGGAGTATTGTTCGATTTCCCCATACACTGAGTGGGATAGGATTAATTCAAAGGGGAAGAACTGTACTTATGCATCTTCATGAACACATTGCTCATGGAAGTCATCTATAAGAATCCTATCTGCAGTTGATGTAAAAAATGGTATTACTTGACAATCGGTTCTTTTACCTGATTTACCAAGGGACAGAAATAATTATGGTCAGACCCAGTTATCAAGGCATTCATAGCACAAATTATAATTAGAAATGCCTTCAGGTATTACTGATGCCTAGATGTAGGAGGATGCATCTATCATCAACCCTGTAAGTGAAGCTATGCTAATGAAGAGAGGAGACAGAATGAACACAAGACAAGCGGTATAACGGTAAGACCAAGTTCATAAGGAACTTTGAAAATAAGAAAGTTAATGTTGAACATGACCCTGAAATGAAGGGGCGGGGGGGAAAACGAAAGCCTATTATGGTATTTAAAGTAAACTGATATGGTTGTTTCTTTATTCTTCAAATAAGCAACAGCATACTTAAATATGGAAAGTTGGGACTCAAAGTAGTATGGAGAAGGCATTGAAATCAGTTATAGTGACACGAGACAGAAACACAGGCAAAGCTTTCTTAGCCTAGATAGTCTCAGCAGCACTCTTTATTGATCTCTGCTACAGGTTGCACATGCAGAGTGGAGAGAATGAATTCAGAGAAACAAACAAAACATTTCAACAGGGCTCTTATTTTGTTAATTTGGATTACTTCTTCTGTTTCCTCCCATTTTTCTTGGGGAATATATGGATAGATTAGAAAGTTTAGACCTACATGAAAGTCCTTTTAGGACATTTAAGAATACAAATTGTAACATGAAAAACTTCCAACTGGTGAGGCTCTGGGAATGGAGGACACAGATAGGGCAAGGAGATGGAGGCTGAGGCCATAGCTGGAGGCAGGAGTGGGGCAAGGAACAGAGCTGGGTGGCTTCCACCATGGCACCTGTGGGAGATGGCCTAGGCCCAAGCTGCAATCCCTTAAGAGGGTATATGTCCCACAGTTTGGGGACCTCAGTATTAGCTGTTTTAGGATACAAATGCTGGACTTTACAATCTTTCCGGGGAAGTTCAAAAAGTAATCTATTAGATAAATGCAATTAAATATTAGTTGCTGCTGGATATTAATGAGTTGTTAAAAACGCATCTTACACAATAATGTCCATATACACTAACTCTTCAAATTTATAGAAGCATATAACTCAAGCTTCCTAAAGCTACACAGTTGTAAAACAAGAGGCGTTTGTGCCTTTTCTGCTTCTTTATGATGTATAAAGGCAGCCCAAGAAAGTCTCTTACAAAAAGCAGAAATGTCAAAATACATTAGTTTTAAATAACTTTGAACATCTATTTGTTTCTTCCTCAATAAGGTTTCACATCTTCAGCTTCCAGTGTTATAATCCTCTTAATTTAACAGTGGACTCTTGAACCCTGAACAAGATTTGAACTTCTAATATTAAATACAATCAGGAAATTTCAGACTCTTTTTATATATTGGAGACTAGCGAACTAAAAACCCAACACAATATTTTTTGGTCAGGACACCATGACTGAACTGCAATATGATAAAATATGTCTGCTTTTAATATGAAAAATAACATATCTGAATTTAAATATACTTAGAAATATATGCCTGCAGACTCTACTGTAACAGATTAATGTCACCATTCAAACCTAATTAGCTTTCCAGCAGAACATGAAGTAAAGATTTTTTTTAATTACACAAAATCTTGCGTGCATATTTTTTCTAATATTCCATTTTTATCGTACTTATTATACCATACCTTGATTCTGTAGTTTTAAATCAGTCATTAATATTGCTTTAATCTTATTCAGAATTGAATTCTATATGCAAAGCAAGTCAGCTATGGATGTAAAATTAGCAGAGAATACTTAAATAGAAATGAAGTTTATGGTAGTGAACTATTATCAGAGCCCACTAATATTAGAGCTTTAATTAAGTCTAATTAAAATCACAGGTAACAGAGGATTCATCAGAAGCACAGACCATTCCTTTAAAAGATAAAGTTAATTCAGTTTTACTCCAGTAGGCTTTCAGTGCAGATATTCCATGCTGTAAATTCATTAAAGTCTTTGCTATTTGCTATGTTTAATTATCTTCTCAAGTAAACAGCTTAGCGCATTTATCAGTACTTTCAGGCCATGTGTCTTACTCTTAATGTTATTTTTGTATGGTTATAGCTAGCTGAGTGTATACATTAACAATCATATCCAGTTTTAGTTCCTTAATGGCTCAACAAGTTGCTGACATGAATTACAAAACAGCAACCAATTTTTAATGCACAATTGTGGCAAAGGCAGAAGCAGCCGTAGTATTGTGTTACTAAGGTAAAAAGTCTACTAACCATCTGAATTATGCCTCAGGGAGAAAAGGCGGAGCACCCTACTGTCTAGAATAAATTTCAAGATGGAAGTGGTTGGTGGGAGCTCTCCAGTTGCACAGAGGCTATGTTAGAAGTACAGCTGGGATTCTCTTCCTGGCTTTTACATCTATTGTGTGCTGAGTTGCATGAGAGCGTAAGGTCCCTGGACCATTTTGGAGGGATGGGTACAAGAGGCAATTTTAACATTGATTTTTGACTAAATAGGAGACTGTCAGTAGTCTGCTTCTTGTTCTTTAGTCTTCCCATCACTCCACCCCCAGCTTCATTCAGTCTCACTTCACTCCAGTCACATTGTTGAAAGAGAGAAAGGAGCATATTTAAGCAAATGCTTTCTGCCCCACCTCTAGCCAAGCCTGTAGGCCAAAGAAAGGGTGGAAAAAGTCAGCATCTCTCTGTTGCTTTCATTCCAGTATTCCAGGACAGAGTTAATACTAAAGAAACTATGCTGAACCAAAGATACAGAAGCACTCGTCAGTACTGGCTGGACCTCTCCCTTTGCTGGGATCCTGTCAGGAGGAAAAACTATAAAAGACAGCAGTCAGCACTGGACCACTCCTATTCTCTAAGCATAGACACACACAATGACTCAATAAGGTAAGTGTTCATTACACACAAAGAACAGAGTTATAGTAGCTATGATACAACTATTCTTGTCTAAAATTCTGTGTTTTCCATGCAACTGATATAATGAAGTGGTGCAATCAAAGCGGCTCCCTGATCTGTTTTAAGCCATGGTTACACCAGCTACTACAAGAGAAGAAAAAAACGATGATGTATTTTTTACTTGTCAAGATTCCTCTCCACTCATATTTAACTAGAGGCATCAGCTATCATATTCTTATAACTAGATCTTTGCAGCCACTTCAACTTCTGTTAAGATAGGGAAATATAGTGAAGTTTTAGGGCAAAGTGGCAATTATACTTCAGTCTACAGCTAGAAGACTTAAAACATAAATGTATTACTCTGTTGTATATGAAGAGAAGATTCCAAAGTAAACAGAATTACGAACCATGACTTACTTCAAAAATCCCCTTACTATCTTGTAGGAGTATCATTTGTCTCAGTAATACAAATATGCTTAATGTTATCCTGTTTATTAAGAGTGTTACTGAAAAAGTGCTGAGCATCCACAACCCCTACTGAAGCCTACCTCAGCTATAGATGCTTAGCATGTTTTGGGAACAGCAAGCCTTCATTTTCCCTTCTGTATGACAACCTTGTTGATGACCTTGTAAACAGTATCTTTGTAAATCATTTTAACTGGCTCAAAACCAGCATAGGCTAAATACTCACAGCTGTTACAAAAATACCATAGGCAATTAAAGCCTTTGCCACATCCTTAAAAAATGAGAGATGCCCTAGACAATGAGTGGCCCAGCTGTGGCTCACAAGCTACATATGGTTCTTTTGCACTTCAAGTGCAGCTCTCGGAGCCCTCCATCCTCCACTTAGCAGACTAGGGTGCTCAGGGATTCAGTCCGACAGGAGTTGCCTGCTGGGGCTGGAGG